TTACAATATCGAGTTCGATAACGGGGCTCCAACACTCGAACATGGCAAATCACTTTGCTGGAACGAGCCAGTTCCACCATCATACAAGCCTGACAAGGACGTCACCCGACGCTTTTGTGAGGAGGCTGTCAGATACGTCGTGGATAAAGACAACCATTTTGGCAAAGACCAGACGAAAGTCGGCTACTACTGGACCGATTACAACCGAGATATTTGGGCTCCTGATAGCAAAGCCAAGCTGTATGATGTCGGGTTTGTGCATTTCTGGATTAAGAGCAACATTGATCAAGGATCTACATGCCCGGAGAACAGGAAAGTGGACGACGAGGTCGCAAATATGACGGTTGACCAGTGTGTCTCTCACATGGATTGGGCGGAAAATCAAGCTTGTGAGTGACCATCTCAAGAAACTTCATCATGACTGGAGTTGAAATTGCTGACATCTGATGAATTAGGCGGAGCGCCACCTGGCGTCTCTTATGGCGGGCGATACTGGGCGGATTGCTTTGAGTGGGGAATGAAGGCTTCGGGATATGATGCAATGAAGAAGATAGATGCTAGATCGCTCTTGGACGCTTGACGCGAGTACGAGGCGGTTCCTGGTAATAAACGTAGTTAAGAAGGTGATATGCGTAGGATTCCAGGCCAGATTGTTCCTGTTGTGGGAGGTCGTATCTTGTATTACTTTTCAGCCCTAGGCTTTTACTACTCGTCCTTTCGACATGAAATGCGCTTGTCTGATTTCGCAACCTCTTTGGCGACTGATATCATCACTTCCCGCAAGGTTCAATCTTAGGACTCACAGTAAAATGTTTGTTTCTCAGACTCATCTCAAGTGGTTGACGCCATTTCAAAATTGCGAAAAGCTTACCCAGAACCGTGAATGGGGGATACTGCTGCTTTCATTCAATCCCAAAGTCAAGAAGTTTGCAAAATGGTGGATGCCACGGCGTGGATTCTCAATTGTAAGTCCGCTCCGCAAATCCGAAAATCCGGGACAGATATGCACGGCGAATAGGCGATGGAGAAAATAAGACTTGACAGCATGAATTTCGTCTCCGATAAGTGTTCGCCCCGCCCGGCGAACCCACAGTGTTTCTGGAAGCTTTCTGCCACGGGCTCCAAATTTTGGACGTTGCCAAACCCAATCGTTTGAGCCGTAATTACCAATTCTGCGTATTACCACAGGCAGTGATCGACAATGGTCACGGCCAAGTCACGATATTGGACAATAAAGCAACGGACCAATTTGATTTCAGTTCTCCGGCGTATTATAACCTTGCAATGCCTCATGGTCTCCCGAGCCTCCCACCGGTTGGAAACGGCAACTGCAGATCAATGCCGGGCCTGGCCGGAGACCGTACCCCGCGGCCGGCTTTGCCGGTGGAAGTTCGATGTGAAACATTAACAACACCGGCTTCTCGCGCTTCTTCTTTGACCGCGCCCGCCGTTCCCCAACTCTCCTATCCCACTGCCGACTCGGCCAATCCCGTTGACGTCAACGCAACGGCGCTGGTGCCGGGCGAGTGGGGGATGAGGGGCAAAAGAGCATTCTTCGGACAAAACAAGGAGGGGCAAATGCACCCCAGAAGTATGTCGGCTCTTCCAGCCACGCGCGTGGCGCCCTGCCGACAGGAGTTGGGACCACCGTCTTTGCGGCGAAGCTCCATGTCCCCTCGGCCCTCTCGAATTGGGTTCATTCCCGGCTGACATGAGCTATCTTTTCGACTAAGGCCGGCTAGCTCATAGCTGAGCCCTCCTCAATCGGACCTTCGCACCCTTCGTCAGCTATCGGTCAGGAGTTGACCCCTCATTTGCCCCGCCGTTAAAATCCCCTGCCCCGCCTCGAGCATTAGGTCGGCCACCTACCGAGACATCACGACTTTCAAATTCTTCACCTTGAGCCAATTCGCGACGAGAGAAGAGAGAAGAGACAACATCGTTCAGAAAATAACGGTCTCATTTTGAAGCTCGCCAACATGTCTTCCAAGCTTCACCAGGCACCACCCTTCAGGGCTGAGCACATGGGCTCCCTCCTCCGACCCCAGAAGCTCCTCGACATCCGCGAGGGCAAGATCCGCGATCAGGGCATGTCCGAAGAAGAGGCTGGCCTTCCCGCCGTCGAGAAGGAGTCTGTCGCCGAGGTTGTCAAGCTCCAGCGCGACCTGGGCATCAAGGGTGTCACCTCGGGCGAGTACAACCGCACGCGTTTCTGGGGCCTTATGTGGGACGAGTTCGAGGGCACAACCCGGCTGCAAGACGCTGAGGCCAGCATGTTCCGCCTCTACCACCCCGACGTCGTGAGCCTCATCGAGAAGGACCGCAAGGTCATGCCTGGCGACTCCGTCATTGCCGGCGCCAAGCTGGCGCACTCCGCCGCGAAGTCCAAGTCCAACCTTCACGAGTTGCAACTCGTTCAGGCCGCGCTGCCCAAGGAGGAATGGGGTAACATTAAGCTGACCATGATCACGCCTGCGTGGTTCCATATGCGCTACAAGCAAGGCCGCGCCTACACCAAGGAGGCGTACGCCAACGATGCCGAGTACTTCCAGGACGTGGCCAAGGTCTACCAGGACGAGCTTGCGGTGCTTTACAAGGCTGGTCTGCGTAACGTTCAGTTCGACGATCCTGGAATGGCCTGTAAGTGACCGCGATTTCAGAAAAGGCGATTTTTACTGACATCGTCCAGACTTCTGTTCGCAAAAGTTCCGCCAAGGGTGGGAGGAGGACAAGGACAACGATGGTACCGTTGAGGACCTGCTTGACGCCTACATCAAGCTCTACAACGACAGCATCAGCAAGCTCCCCGAAGACATGCACACAGGCATCCAGTAAGTGCATTTAAAGCAGTGAAAAGACAAGACCAATGCTAACAAGGTGAAGTTTGTGCCGTGGAAACTTCATTGGCGGACGCCATTTTGCCGAGGGTGCCTACGACATCATCGCGAAGAAGCTTTTCGAGAACCTCAACGTCAACACCTTCTACCTTGAGTACGACACCGAGCGCGCGGGTGGCTTCGAGCCCCTGCAGTTCCTTCCTAAGAACAAGAACGTGGTCGTTGGCATTATCAGCACCAAGGTGCCTGCCCTCGAAGACAAGGAGGAGATGAAGGCTCGCGTGTACAAGGCGGCTGAGTTCGTCGCCAAGGGCAGCGGCGAGACCAAGGAGGAGGCGCTCAAGCGCATCTGCGTCTCCCCTCAGTGCGGTTTCAGCACCCACGAGAGCGGATACCCTCTAAGCCTGGAGGACGAGAAGAAGAAGCTGTCTCTGGTGAGGCAGATCGCTGATGAGATTTGGGGTGAGCCTTGATTTGGTAAGGCTTGACGATTGTGTGCAAGCGTTTTGGGGTCGTGGAGCCGGAGGTGCTGTGGCATTCAACATGAACTGATGAGCTGTAGAATATTGCGAGCGTGTTTAAAAAGTCGATTTAGCCTTACTTCAGGATATGATATTTAAAAGCCTCAACGCTATTTGAGGCTATTACGTCGATAAAGAGTCTAAACCCTACCTTAAGTAGTTGATCTAACAATTATGTATGTTGCCTTTCGAGTGGTTTCATTGAACGTCATCAGCTATATTTAGATGCAGAGATCTTGAGCTCTTGCATCAGTGATCAATCAATACCATTAACTATGTGCCGTCTTTTACGAGTGAGTTCAGTGGAGGCACCATTGATTAACATTGTACCAGGAATAAGAGAAACATGATTGCACTGTTGACGCCATTACAGGAAATCATTCTCGTTGGGGGTCCCCAACATCATCCGAAAAAGTAATTTAAGCTTCCATGTTGATCCGGCCCATGGTGCAAAGTGACCCTAACATCGATCATGAGCGGAATCCCGGCTGTCAAGCTTGCTAGAAGAGGTCGATATGCTGACTACCTTAAGATATACGGCGCGGCGTGCTTGTCTGACTCGGAAACGGCAGGCGAAGAAAGCCAAGTACCCATGCTTGACGGCTGGGGAGACTGTGAAATGTCTGGCAATTTTCTACAAGTCTGTTTTAACTTCAATAATTTGACACATGAGCTAGACATTTATCTGATGGTGGATGTTGGTTGCGTGGCTGTGGACGGGCGGCTGATGGCGCGTGTTGAGGGCACGTTTGCGTCTGCCTAAGTCACTTCCTATCACCTAAACTAGTCGAGACGCTCATCAAGAGCTGACAGCAGGCTTTGAAAGACTTGGAGCGACACAAAATTTCAAGCCTAGCCGTCAGGAAATGAGGCCGCAAAGCGACACAATTGGCCGTAGCTCTGACTGCGTGTGGATAAAGCATGGCCTTGGCACTTATCACATGGGTGAGTTCATTTCGTCTTCACCGGTTTCAATCTAAACGCGGTCATTCTACATTTTCAAACGCCACGAATGAGCTGTTTATCGTGAGTAATTACAATAACCCGCCTAGAGCGACGTGTGGTCTGCGGGGCGGATCGCGGAATATGGTACGAAAGTCCCTAAACCCTGCGAGCCGTCACCATGGCCCCGGGTTCTAGCCGCTGTTTATGGAATGATAGTCAAAAGCGAAATTGATTGAGACCTTTGTTTCGAGGTATGATCCAATCAGGTTGGACGTATTACTGCTCAGGTGGCGGCGAAAACGAACGCAGTGTGAGAGAGTTTGAGCAGTTTTCCCGATCTAAAACCCACTAGACCTCAATCACCCAAATCCTAATCGCAAACTCCGCATCAAATGCAACCTCCTCGTGTGGTTCATATTCGTATAACTAGGAAGCGGATACCTGTCGATTTTGTATCAAATGGGACATCTGCAGCCTTGGCGACTAGCTACATCATCATCATCATCTATTTTCTTCAACATCTTCGATGAAGCTCCATTCCTTCGTCGTCCTTGCTGCGGCGGCCGGCCATGCGATGGGCGCCGGGCAAGGACTGGTCGGTTACGGTATCACTATGTACAAACCTCCTTGCGCCTTTGCGTGTCGCGATGCAATCTCTGGCGCAACTTTGAACTGCTCGACTACCGGTTCAGACGATATGGATGGCATGTCTGGAATGTCGATGAGCGGCAAGGTGATGACAGACCCGGGCTGCTACGCTACCGACGACGCATTCCTGCAGACACTTGCTTGGTGTGTCTTGACTCGTTGCAAGAACATGCCCACCTGGAAGCTCGAGAAGTTCTGGCAAGAGAACGTGGCCGGCACAGAAGCCGTTCAGCCGGACCCGAAGGAGACATACCAACAGGCGCTGGAGAAGATCAGCGGTACTCCAACTGCTTTATACAACGCCACTGGGTCTCTGAATCAAACGAGCCTGGTATCCGAAGACCTTTGGTTTGCGGCTTACAATACCGATACGATCTTTGAAAATCAAGAAAGCCAGCAGGAAGGATTTGGGTAAGCAATACAAGACTCCCTCAGACATGAATTGAGTCTAACAATATGCAGTCTGATTATATTCCTCTCAGGCGTTGTGATCCCCATCGCCGTCTCGTTCCTACGCTTTTTTCCCTTCCCGGCAGCTTGGTGCACCAAGTTCAACGCGTTGATCATCGACCCTCCTCTGTTCGGCCACCGTCATGACACGCCAGTCTTCTTTGGGCTTGCCCTAATGCCAAAGCGTGGACAGGCTCTCTTTATATTGTACTTCATAGCCGTCAACACCGTACTCTTAGCAGTCAACTATCAGTACGCCGACCCCAACACCTGGTATCCTGGTGACGGCTGGCGTTGGATGTGCATGTTGATATCTAACCGTCTTGGACTGCTAAGTTTCGCCAATCTACCGCTGGTATTCCTATACGCCGGCCGAAACAACCTCCTTCTTTGGGTTACAGACTGGTCCCACTCAACGTTTCTGTTGGTGCACCGATGGATAGCAGCCATAGCAACCCTGCAGGCTATCCTGCATAGTATCATCTACCTGGATGTTTATATCAAGAACGGCACACACGCCACCGAGTCCCGAGAACCATACTGGTACTGGGGTATCATTGCGACGTTGGGTCTGGTCATCATGTTTCCGTCTTCTGTTATACCCATCCGCAGGAAGATCTATGAGGCGTTCCTCGCATGGCATATTGCCGTGGCTATTCTGATCATCGCGGGATGTTACTGGCACATTGTCTTCGAGTTCAAACACCAATGGGGTTACGAGGTATGGATTATCGTGTGCATGGCGATCTGGGCTTTCGACCGCGTATTTCGAGTCCTGAGACTTCTGCGCCACGGCATCAAGAAAGCTGATATCACGGCCATCGACTCAGAGTATGTTCGCATAATTGTCCCGGGTGTCTCCGCATCTGGCGTTGCATACCTATACTTCCCAACTCTCACTTGGCGCGTATGGGAGAACCACCCTTTCTCGATTGCCTCCGGCATCTTGTCCTCAACTCGCTCTCGAATTGAAGTCTCCCAGCAGATTGACGGCGACATCGAAAAGATCTCCGGCAGCAGCATCCAGGCCGCTGATAAGAGGTCTACGGTCAGTCACCGTCCCGTCAGCTCGTCGCAGACATCAGACAAGCCACCCGAGATGGGAATCACATTCTACATTCGGACTCAAACAGGGTTATCCTCACGTTTAAGCACTCGCAGCACAATCCCTGTGCTTGTCGAGTCTGGATACCCATCTCACACGCCTCTGTTTGAATCACCGCACAAAGCCCCAACGCTGGTTGCAATCGCTGGTGGGGTGGGAGTAACTGCTCTTCTGCCTAGTTTAGCCGGTCACCCTGGCCGCTCCAAGCTGTTTTGGGGATGTCGATCTCAGGCATTGGTGGATGATGTAGAAGTCTCAGGCTCGCTGTGGAGGGTTGAGAAGGAGGTCTTCATCGGGAAGAGGATGAATGTGAGAGACGTGCTTGAGAGCGAGCTAAATGCCACGAGCGAAGTTTGCGTGATGGTTTGCGGGCCGGAAGGATTGAGCGACGAAGTTAGAACTGTCTTTTCGAGGATTGTGCGCAAGGGGAATGGAGTCAAAGCAAGGCTCATCGTGGAGTCTTTTAGTTGGTAATATTGCAGAGGCATCATTTCAAACTTTTGCGATTAAAGGTCCTAAAGCCATCTTGCCTTCAGATTGATACTCCAAAGGTTTACGTGTATCCAAACACCGCCGTAGTCCAGCTGTTCCCATCTGGAGAGTGACGCCAGCTGTGCATTCCTCGTATTTGGTTGGTCGGCATTCGGTATTGAATGTCGACGATGTGTGCTCGAATACCAAGTACTTCGTTGCAGAGGAAGTGTTGATAGCCAGGTAGAGATCAGGATAGTCACTCGTCAATGAATAAAGGCTCTCGCGCCATGCATATGATCTAGGTTGTTGGATTTATTATAGTCAAGGTACTGTTTAGTTGTTATCATCTAATCCTCATTCCCTCATTGCTCTCGCTGTTTAATCGGTCCTGCGCCACTGTTTCTGGTCAGTCAAAGTCACTAGAGGTAAATGTTTGGAGTTCGTGGCTCATACCTTTGATTTACTTAAGATAGCACTGCAGGGCACATCTGTCGCTACCCCAGTAGTTGGCGACGTGAACAAACTTGCCGCCCTCGTTTCTTCCGGCTCTAGCGCAAGGCAGATCGCAGTCTGAGTCCTTGTACGGGTCCTTGCCGCCGTTGAAGTCGTTGCAGTTGTGCCATGCGGCGACACTGAGCTTCTCGTACTTGCAAAGCGGGTTCTCGCTGATCAGCTCCAAGCCTTGGACGGCAGCGATGCCAGCGGCGAAAATGATAGTGGTGAACTTCATGGCGATTGCTGGTTGAAGGAGTTGTAGTCCGATGATAGGCGAATATTTCCATCGACGAAGAAGTCGGGAAATAAAAGTCGACTTTATATAGCATTCAGCGGCGTCTCAGATCGACCTGGCTGGTACGCAGTATTGTGGGAGTTCACCGCTGGTAATAGACCACGAACGTTGATCAGCGCGCCTCGACCCGTCGATCAAACTCAAATAAAGTAAAACGGGATTCAATGACAAAGATGCTGGCATTTTGTCGCGAAGCCTCGTGCTGATAGGGACGAGACAGGGATCACACGAGTCGTTAATAATATCCCGAGTGGAACTACATGGCGAATGGAGCCAATTGCCCCGTCGAGCACGATATAAAATCAGCTTGGCTCTCCCGCATACCGATATCGAAAGCAAAAATAACGTGGTCCGACTAATAATAATATCAGGCGGTGGCAGACAGGAGGTTAACACTAGAATACGAAGAAGCACACGGGACCCGCTGTCGTTCAACTTTGGGTTTGCAATCAGAGAAAGCCTTTCAACGGAACCCCAAACAAAAGAAAAAGGGCCAAAGTAGGACCCTACACATCACAGAAATTGGAGTTTTCGAAGCTCTGAGGACTTGCTGTGCTGACCAGTTTGTCCAATGGGTGGCCTGTCTTCTCAAACGATTGGGTAGATGGGAAGACAGGGACCCAAAATATATCAGAGGACCTCTTAACGTTTCAAGTTAGTAATCCAGGCCACCCTTCAGGACCTCCAAACACCAACATAAGTCGTTTGCGCGACTTGTGTTCACTGAATGAATGTTTCGAGGACATGGACCCATCATTGCGGGGCCGATCCGAAGCGGGCTGAACATAAGAATGCCTCGCTCCCCCACCCCCATCCGGACCATAACCCAGACGAGAATCACCATATACATAGTAAGTGTGAACGTGCGGTGTCCGCCATTTTCCAAAGATTGACGCCGAGACGACAAATCTACCGCAGCTGAGCACCGTCGTCCAAGCAAAAATTATTATAAGCTGCAACAGGATTAGAGCCTGAAGTTGGGTTCTATCTGCAAGGTTTGATGATGGCTTTTCACCGTAGCTCCCGGTATGCTACACTTGACATACGATTACGAGAGTGTCTCAGAGGCAGAAAAAAGCCAATTGTTACTTTTATTGAGCGAGCGTATCAAGTTCAAAAATATCCCCAGGGTCCAAATCCACGCCTGACACTAGGCTTTGAAGACACTTCCTGCCAAACTCGCAAATGGCGTGGTGTCTCTTCACTGCTTGATGAAACCACTCCATATCTGTTGCTTCGACGTTTGCGATAGATTTGATGTTGCTAACGCCGACAGCCAATGAACAAATAAGTCCAACATTAGGTCCGCAGATCTTTTGCAACTGACGTCCCAGTTTAACTTGTTGTCTCAACTCAGCGCGGGTGCGTTGGTTGGTTGGCAGGCCTTTGCACTGCAAAATTCGGTCGTAGTCGGCGCTGTCGACTCTCTGCCTTGCTGTTTCTATTCTCCGACGCTCAAGCATCTCTGCTATCTTGAGAAGTCCGTAGAATTTGCATATTCTTATGTGCCCGACACCATGCTCGCAGTTGTCAACAAAGGTGCTAATTGTAGAGACAGACCGGTAGACATTGTCGCCGTCAGAGCTAAGATCGCAGAGCCCTGTCTGTAGACTGTCCAATCGGCCTCGTGAAGCAGCAACTTCCACCAATTTGCGTAACGTCTCCTTGCTCGTTATCTTCTGTAGCAAAGACTCCGCGGCACTTTTGAATGTTTGCGGACGGTCGCCTCGACGGTCGCAATTGGCTACTGCCTTTGATTGACGTTGGCTGCACGTTACTGAATTCATTCCATCAGTCTCGGCGGTCTTTCGGCTTTTTGTGGACTGATTAAATATGTTTGACGAGCTAGAACCATATTGCTGTGAGTTGGAAACTTGAGTCGATTTCTCGAATGGCCCATGGAGCGTAAAGTGTCTCCTATCTTCCCCATCCATGGAGTCCGGCTCTACTGACAATTGACTTTCGAATTCGACTGCTTGTGTGATGCAGATCATGGCCCTGTCTAGAAGCTCTCTGGACCTCGGATGAAGACTTTCCAAACTCTCGAGCTCCGTTCTCAGTGTCGATAGAACGTCTTGTGCAATTATCTGAAAGCCTCTTGGGTCAGTCGATTTAGTCGGAAGGGAATGTTCGCCTTGCACATGTCGCAGAAGGTCTGTCGTCCTTAACGAGCAGAATGGACAGAATAAAAGCCCGTGCTCGTTCTCCAAGTGATTGCGCAAGTCCTCCAATTTCATCTGTTGTTGGCGGCATATGTCGCATGCAGGATGGTCTTCTTCATGGTCTTCAAGAGCGTCTTCGTCAGGTTCTGAGGCGCCACAAACAGTGCAAACGACCCAGTCGTGCGTGAATCGCAAATGTGGTTGCATTCGTTCCTCTGGTAGATGGAGTCCACATTCTGGACATCGACTCATTTTGTGTTTGTCGAAGACGTGTCTCATGTCGAAGGATGTTTCGGACGGGCAAAATGAGCAAGTACGTATCTCGTGAATACTGGTAAGATGATTGTGAAGTAGCCCTTTCTCCAAGTAAGTTGCTTCACAGAAGACGCATTGATCCCAGGCGTGGTAAGGAGACGAGGTAATGTGCAACCATAATTCCTCGACGGGCGTTTCCGAACCCCATGCTTCGCATTCGAGGCACCACGACAGACCATGTGAAGACCGAAGGTGGTCTAACAGACCACAGTGAAAGATTATCTCATCACAGGCATGGCATACCGAGTGTGGATGAGTCGTGATGATATGAAAGACAGGATTATCGCTGTGACAGTCATCACACCAGTACAGATGATGCTTGGCCTCCGTATGGCCTGTGATGGCATCCACCTGTAAGCCATGACAAAAAGGGCAGTTGTGGTACTTGCTCAGGTGATCCCCATCTTTCTGTGGGTTGAGGATCTTCTTACAAAGCTGACAAGGTCGGAAGCCGTGGACTTGGACGCAATGGTTTTCAAAACTATCCAGTGCAAGTCTGCTACCACATACGTCGCACATTGTCTCCCCATGCTCTTCGGGATGATCATTCAAACCTCTGAAAAGCATGACCATGTTGCAGATGTCGCATTGCTCAAAGTCCACTGGAAGGGGACGGACGACCGCAAAGAAGGGAGGTTTGCTAGGGAAGAATGTTCGCGGGAACTTGCTGAAGTGACTCTGCGCTATGAGCTGAGACTCGCCATCCATCAGACATTCTTTGGCCTGCTCCAGGTGGTAAATTTGAGGCCAACGATTATGTGCGACTCCATTCTGCTGTCTTTTATCAGGGTGAACTGCCAGCGCGGACCTTCTATAAGCCAGTTGGATGTCTCGGCTCTCAAACGGACACTGATCTGGGTCAAGCCCAAGAGCGTCAAAGGGGCTGAAAAGCATTATGTGCTTATTCGAGTTTTAGTTTCGCAACTTTAATTCTCTCGGTGTCTTCTTACCTGGCTGTTTGAATCTCAGTTGCGAACACTACAGTTACGACTGACTCGTGAACTTCGAACCTTTGTTGCACTTCTAGAGAATGGAGCCTTGAGTAACTCAAGGAGCAAGGTTCTGCGTGCATATCATTTGCGTGATCATAAGAATTTTGAATGCTTCGAGAACTAGGTAAGATAGGTCTAAGGGAAGCCAAATAGCATGAGAGTACTTGGAGTTATGATTCTCAACTTCCTCGCCTCTCAACCTCCATCCATGGATCGGGCAGGGAACCGAGTCGGCAACTCAAGCACGGGCCACAACGGCTCTTTCAACCCTTGTGGCCCGTGCATACCTTGATTCTGGTTCTCACTTTTAAAGAATCAACACGACTGGTTCCACGAGTCTTCCAAGTTGATGTAGATCGGTACTTCAGTGACGAGACCTGCATAAATGCTCCAAGAATGATGCAAAAGTCCTTCGCTGAAGCTGCGGGCGCAAGCGAACTAAACTTTACCGAGAACGAGGGTCTGAGTCGCCCCATCAACAACGTGGCCGACGCCGATTGAGGCGTAAACACCTCTCTTGTTCGAAAGTAGTATTAGTGCCGAGGTCTTTGTTCAAAGACATAAGCTTCACCGTCCTGGAGCAAGTTCTCGTTTTCGGCGGGGAATAGCGGCATCCCACCAGCAGAACCGTCATTCGAACCCTGTAATGACGCCTTGCATCTCGTGGAAGTACAGAAAAGCATGTTTCGATTGTGGGCTTGCCTAATGAGGGAAGGATTGGACGGCGGTCCGTCGGGTCCGGATAGGGTCCCGGGTAAGGGTGTAGGCTTCGGCGACGTCGCCGAGCAAGGGGTTGACTGTGCAGTCTTCACTTAGACCTCTTTCATTAGCAATTTTGACACCCCGCGAAATCGACATTGGAAAGGTTGTGAAATTGATGTTCTACAGGCAGCAATCAAATTAACAGCCTTTTGTCGCAGAACGAGTTCCAAAGCATGAATATTGGTCTGACGAACAGTTCGGAACTTTGGCCTGAGTCTCCATATGCTATGAGATTTACCATCTTGTTCCCCTAAATTATGTTAGGAAAGGCTCCCAAAGCAGCTTGCCCACCCGTATGTACCAACAGCACATTCTCTCCTCCAGCAAACTCCCCCAATTTGGCCTTGTCAAGAATCGCACCCAAAGCGCGCCCAGAGTAGATTGGATCCGCGACAATTCCCTCCGTCCGACCCAACAGTCTAACAGCTTCAGCTGTTGACTCACTCCAGCCCGAATAAGTACCGGCGTTATATCTGGTGTCCAGCACAACATCTCCAGGTTTCACAACTCCATCCGCAAGTCCAATGAGCCAAGCAGTTCTCTGAGCAATTTCGAGGATTGAAGCTTCGAGAACGCCGGCTGGCTTGTTGTACGTGTCGATACTAATGACCTTGCGCTCGCGAGTCTTCTTGGCGGGATCGTTGGAGGAGGAAGACTGCAGGCGATCCGCGAACTTGAAACCGGCGAGCATTCCACCGAGCGTCCCACCCGAAGCGATAGGAACGACCACAAAGTCAAAGAAGACGCTAAGGTTCTGCTCTTGCTCCACCACTTCAAAAGCCTAACGTATAAAGCCTAAGCCACTATATAGATGAGATGAGGCACTAGAAGAGATGATATACGGCTTTTGACTATTAAAACAAAGGCTAGTAGCAGTATCCTCGAGAGTGATGCCTGGCGTAGTGTACTCCGCTCCAAGAATCTTGTTTACCTGCACGTTGCTGCTCATATTGTATACCTTAGGGTTGGACTTCAGTAGGTTCTAGGGCACTAATACTGTTTTGAGACCTAGGCGGTTTGTAACGGCAACTACTTATCGCATGTGATTGCTCTACACCCCGCTAGTAGTGACGATAGTGTTGCATCTATTATTTAAAGCAGAAAGAAACACGTACTCCAGCTTTCGGACCTTGTTACCTCCTAATCTAATCCTAGATGAGCAGTCTTCCCGCTTAATCCAGACTTAAATCGGAGTGGGGCTGCTTTTTTCAATATGCTTGGATAGGCGCGGCAAAAGATGGAGAGGAGATGGGTGATCAAAGAGAAGAGGAACGCGCTCGAAAGACGCTAATGGCTTAGGCAAATGGACCATGTTGAAGATTGCAATGAAGAAAACTTGGAACGAATTCTGAGGAATTGGCTAATAGTCAAGAGACATGTGAGGAGAAACCTGAATCCAGAAAACGAGAAATGGAAGTCCAAGATATTCCTTCGTTGTCCCATCAAATCACTCTCGGGTTACAAATTGTAGTGTAAGACGTACTCTTTCGTCGACGTTTCTTCGACGCCCTTCTTTTGTCATATGCTCCATGTCAACTGCATCGTAGCATGCAGATGACGAGATTGCGTCAACCTATGGCGCTGCGGATGATATGATTCAGGTTTGTGAGCGATCTTTTCTGACCTAGGCTCAGGCCGGTTACATTCGGCCTTGTGAAGCATCTGCCGACTTCTTTCGCCGTCTTGGTACTGCTCGGCCATTGAGTCTTATCCCACATGACTTGCATCAGGCGTGTCCGCAGTCGATCAAGGAGAACTTCGGCTTTCGTCCCGGCTCCGACGGGCTGAAGTCGCCAAGGGTTCGTGTCAGATTCAACATGCATCATAGGTAGGGCAAAGTGTGGTGCGGGAGATCCGGCTTAACACCCCCGGAGTCGCTTGTCTGCGATTCATGACACTGCGTTGTCTGCCACTCACGGGTTCTGCCCTGAAAGAGTAATAGTTTCGATGGGTATCGCACGAATCTGGCATAATTAGCAAGGAGCTCAAGACACTAGCTCCATGCGAGCGCAAACCTTAATCTTTCTTCAGACTCTAGGCCGGTCCATGCACCAACGTGCAGATATCACATTTGATCGTGGGACGCTGAGGCTCCTCATCTGTCCTACCCGCGGACCCCAATGACCCCGGAACTGATGTGGTAACCGTAGTAGGAGCTTATTTCCACATGATGCCTTTGCTAGCCGAACTGCGTAACGGTTCGGGCCGTTGAAACTAGAACGTAAGGACTTCCTGTACAACCCCCTCTTGCTCCTCTTGGCGATTCAAATGGAGTCAGAGTGGGAAAATTCCACGCAGTTAAGGTCAGCCAAGACGCTACTACTATGCTGGCACAATTGAAAACTCTTATGAGACTCTACACACAGCCCCACCTTTTCTTCAACAGGATCAATGTTTTGCCCGTTATTTGGAAATGACTCCGAAGAATTTCCCGAATGATGTGAATTGATTACTCTCGCTCAAATTCGTGAAGATACGCAAAGGGCATATTCAGTCAATGATGAGACTTCCAACTAAGCTAGTGACAAGGGAAGATTCGGCTTCTGCAAGGAGACATCAAATAGCCACCCTAAGATCCCTTTCTATTCCTCCGGTAGCAACAGAGTCTAAGCGCTGCTCCTGTAGCGTCTTGTTGAAGCTCTGATACTTGCTGAGAAACTATTCCTCTGCCGTGACTGACTGCCCGTTTATGCCTTGAAAGACGATACTGTTACTAGCCTGTAAGAAATAGGCTGTAGAGTACCTATCCTAGGATATCTTGTTCCTGTGGGGCAGCACATGATGTATCGCTGATTGGAATTGTCTTGTGAATATGAAACGAAGCGTGTCGGCCACGTTGATGATAGCATGTCCTGGCTTTAGGGCTACGTACTCCTACTTGTTAGTCGTGGGCGAAACAACCTGTAGGCTAGGCTGTTTGTTGAAGAGAAGGGTGAAAGACCTGACGTCAGTATGGGTATTGTAGCCTTAGGCAGTCTTATCCTGGAGCGTATTACTGATGGGATGATGTAAGAAGAAGAGCGTGCTCTTGGAAGGTATATCGTCTGGGTGATACTCCTCGAAACGCTCTTTTCCCTCTAAGCCTACTGCATTGGAGAGGCGCGTAAGTAACGTCTTTAACACGAAGTGGGCTGAGAGTTGGAACGTTTTGAATAAGTCAAAGTTCTCTGCCACTACGCCAGGGAGATGGCTGTGGTTAAGCAGGTGAACACGACTGATCTGGTTCATAATTAGTGCCTTCTACTGGACACAGCTCTCATTCGAAACGTACCCTCAAAGCTTCAAAACCATCGCGTGTATTCTCGTTGACACCAGACTGCACGCCAGGTGGTTTGTAACTTGAATCGTCAGCATGGATGAGACAACTCGCAACGGAAGCGACCATACCTATGAGCGTTAGAGATGGTCTTGGTTCTCAATTTTTCCTCTAGCGGCTGGTTGAACTATTGCTTTATGATCTGGCTAGCAGACTCGTAGTTCTTGAGCATGGAGCTAGATTCCCAGTCTCGAAGATCAAGGTAAAAGAAGCCATGATTTTCGCACGCAGACATCAAGGTCGAAAGTGACTTCTCATCCTTGTTCACAAGAGAACGAAAGTTCAGCTTGTGGAGATTGGCTTGCTCTAGGCCAGAGTTGTTCTCGAGAGTTACAGCAGGCATGATGTTTATTTGTAAGATACGGGTAATTTAAATTGAAGTAGTTCAGCGTGCGATCAGAGGATTGTGTGAAGATGGCGTTGTGTATGCGTGAGTCTATTTACCCTTCAAGAGTCTAAATATCAGGTCTCAACAAACGTCAACTTAGGATAGATAATTAAGAATTGTTGACAAAGCTGCACTATCTGGTTGGCGATTCGGTCAGTGTGTATGAGTCTGGAGATGTCAAGAATTTCGCGAGTCATGATCATCCTTCATGCAAAGGTGGGATGTAACCGCCGACTTCAACGTAGCGCAAAATAACTCTAACCATGAGTTGCTCAAGCAATGTAACACTTCAGTTTCTCGGCGTACGATGACAAATCCATAATCTTCTGGGAGTATCTTTGTTTCTTTTGTGATCTGTGGTTACGTACGTCCATATACTTGGCAATATGGGGTCGCTCCTGCCGTGAAGTTGATCGAGCCCAACCAGGCGTGCAATCATGATCCCGCAACAAAACAAGATCTTCAGCCGCCAAGCAGAAGGTTGTATCAGCGGCTATGCAACTCAATATCTCAAGGTACAATGTAACTATGCGCAACCTCGTCTGATCATTACGTAATTAATGCTTGGCCTGTCCTTTCGGGGGTTGTATCGATCCCCGGAGTCAACTTGCATCAACTCGATCGAGATTAGGCAGATGCCATGACAACTCATCATAAGGTTGTATCGGTGTTGCCATCTCACCCCCTTGACTACGGTATGTTCTCCTTCGGTGACTTCCATATTTCCCTCATGCCGCTATTGCCGCGTATTATGGCAACCCAAAGTAGTCTCGTAAGACATTGAAACTGGCCAGCGGCAAAGAAATCTTATGCAGGAGAAAGGACTTGCATAATACATTTTCAGACTCAATTATTCAAATTGGAACTCGAAAGTCCGGGTAAACCATTACTTGATGATTAGAATTATGACAGGACCTTAGCTTATGATTTTCATTGCTACGGGGCAGTTACAAAATGAAGGAAGGAGTGTGTTTATTTCTGCGCTGATAGGTAACGACTGACTATCAAATCAAATTTGCGTTGTAATACTAAAGCCCAAATAACCCAGCAGTGATGCAGTTTAGAACGATGCCCTAAGCTCCTGTGCCATTCCGCCAGACAGAACAGTTTGCTCTTTCTGAATAGCGTGGGGCAACTCGTACATCTCATACTTCTTCAAATACTACTGCTTTGCATCTGACTCTTCTTCATTGCTGTCCTTGAACTCAGTTGAGTCTGTGGCCCACAGGAAGTAGGAAATAGAGTAGCGATCCTCGTTCTGTACCCCTCCTAACGGCAGCACGCGGTGTAGGGCTGAACGAAACCGCTTTCTGGAAAGAAAGCGGAGTCTTTCTGGAAAGAAAGCGGAGTGTGTTACCGACGTTGACAATAGCGTGTCTGGGTCGCAGCTCGACATACGTCTAGGCCTCATCAGATGGAGAAAACACCTGCAGGCCCTACTATAGAGCGAATAAGAGAGTGAGAGTACCAATATCTATGTGTAGATTCTGTCCTACGTTCTTAATATCTTAACTTCTAGGGGGGTAGTAAAGGAAATAGAGAGTGCTCTTAGATCAACTGTTATCATGATGACTGGTGTCCAAATGAGCCTCACCCTTTAACTCTAAGCTATCAGAGAGATAGTTAAGCAGGAGTTTGAGGATGAAATAGCAAGAAGTAGTGAATTGATCGAAAAGCCTGAGGTTGTCTTAAACAACTGAAGCAAGGGCCTAGCGGCCCGTCAGCTTGTGTCGTCCGATCTAACAAGTCAGTCACACGTTCCCCTTTTCTTCTGCGGATACGTACCTTAAGGGCCTCAAACCCATCATGATGTCCCTCAACGGAACCTGACTGGTTACCCAAGGCCTTGAATCTAGTTTCAGTTAGTCAATACTGCTCTTGTTTTCTTCCACTCTGAAAGAGGCTTATTCAGGAGTGTGGACAACTCACCCATGGGCAAGAGACACTGTGGGAGTCTTGAGCTTGACCTCAGTAGACTGTGAGAACTAGTTCTGGGTGACTTCGTCTATCTCCTTTAAGTCTTTCCAGAACTTCTCAGATCCGGTCGCTTGAAGGTCTTGGTAGAAGAAACCGTCTGTTTCACAAGCCTTGATCAAAGCTTCTAGGGAGTCATGGTCCTTGTCGAAGAGGCTTTCGAACTTGATAGTGCGCAAGTCGGCCTTGGGGACATCCCTGTACAACTCTGAGATTGAGGAAGAGCTCATTTTGACGCAAATTGGGTAATTGATTTGAAAAAGATTTTGAATGGAGTTGGGTTTCTGCGACGGATATCTCTTCCTCCGGAGGAATCCCTTCATATATGTGCCAGTGTCTGAGGCGCGTAACTTGGCCAAGATTTCTTGGAAACATCAAGGGGCATCGACGACTCCTGTCAACTCCGGCAGTCAACCAAAAATTCTTCCTCAGGACTTCAGAACTTGTGAACTTGAGTTGCCGTGTTCTGAGAGCGCACAAAGTCTACCGAGGCAACTCGACCGATCCTAGTTGCATTGGCCCTGGGAACAGCCTTTGAATGACTCGATGTCTACATGCAATACAACATCATTTCTGGCGACATTGCCCACCGGCATTCTATGGCGGCGAGAACAGAATCTGAGGGGTCGAATCTTGTACGCGTAACTCTCACGATTTTTAGAGTCGTAATAACCCCTGCTCATACCGCCACAGGTGCATATGGGCCGGGCCGCCGAATGCAACCATAATTTCGGGGGTTTTGTCCGCCCACCACCTCCTCAGCCCTGCTCTTCAGCACCCGAAATTTGCCAAGGGCAATGCAAATCGAAGGTTCCAATGGGGATCTGTCCGGAAGCTCGGCGCCAATCTCGTCGCAACCCGAGCAACATATGGCTCAATCTTCGTTCTCCGTCTCCTATGGGTAAAACCTTGCGTTCGGAGATATGACCCTTGCCAATGAGTGGCAGGTACTGCTGGTTGTGTCAATGGCCTCATACTCATAACCGCTTATGCGCTGATCTGCAGTGAGGTGCCCATCTTTGGACTGAGCTCGGCATAGGAGTATGTCCTGGGCGCATTAGCCGCCGCTGGGAGAGAGAGAGACGACATGGAAAGACAGATCACGAGTAAGGACGACCTTTCGCAATGCAATGGTTAGATTACGTAGATTCGACTAGGTTTGATACGTGTGTGCTTCTATTTGCGCAAGTGAGGCAAAGAGATGGCGCCATTTGAGATTGCAACCGCGAGCAGAACCAAAGTCCCTCCCATGAGAGCAGATCCCCCAAAGACTTGCGCGTACAGGAAGTCGCCATGGCCCCTCTCAATGAGTGCACCAGCCAGTGGAGGACCTGTCAGACAAGCAACGGAAACAACAGTGAACACCATTCCTGTCCTCATACCCATCTTCTTCAAGTCCGTTGTCAACCCAGAGCAGGCCGCCGGAAAAACGCTCTGAACCCCTCCAGCGAAAGATCCATAGATGATGCAGAACGCAAATAGTCGGCCCTCTGAGTTGACTGAAACCCAGCAATAGAGTAAGAGCCCCGAGAAGAACGTGGTCAAAATCAACGTTCTCACTGGCCCAATAAACTTGTCCGACAGCACAGCTAGAAGTATGCGTGCTGGTATGCCGACTGCATTCATAACAAGCAGAAGTGTTAACGAGGTCGTGGAGGAGACACCAATCACCGTTCGGCCGTACGTGGGGACCTGCAAGATGTTAGATTTCTGATTAGATGTGGGGAGCGAAGTGTACTTACGTAGTAGAAAGCGAAGAAGATTGCCCAGAAGCTCAGAAACATACCAACGCAAAATAATGCGTAAGGAAGTTCTTTGAAACTTGACCATTCAACAATTGGCCCCAATTTCCTCGGGGGCAATCTCGTTCTAGCCAAAGCAAGAATGATGACTGTATTGAACAGCATCACGAATCCCATGACCCTGACCGTCCAGCCAAACCCAATCTTGGGCAGCAATTGTTGGGCAATCAGAGGAAAGAATATTCCACCACTGCCAGCACCTGAAGCGTTTATGGCAATAGCCATCGATCGTCTCTTGACGAAGTACGTCGCTAGAAGCGCAATCGTTGGGCAAAACGTCAGTCCATCGCCAAGCCCTGTGCAGATTCCTTGGGCGAGAAATAACTGCCAGTACTTTGTCGACAACGACGTCATGAACACTCCGAGAAGCTGAAGGAAGAGTCCGGCCACTAAAACCTTTCGGTAGTGCCCAGCGTCAGTCGCGCGTCCAGAGAAGGTGCCGACGAAAAAAATGAGGAAGATTTGAACAGAGCCGACCCAGGAGATTGCGGACGGAGAAACCCCTAGCGCAGAGACGTAGTAAGATTGGAAGAATCCGAAGGAATTGATGTATCCCCAGGAGTTGAACATGACCAGATGAGCGACAACAGTTTGAGACCACGCCTGGAAGCCTCCGTCTGGAGGAGGCCTCGGGTCGGACGCGTCGTGCTGTGCCGCATCATCGTGGCTTTCGGTGCTGTTGCTGTCGGGAATCGAGCTTGACAGGCTGTTGTCCACTTGTTGGAGAGGCTTTTCGTTTGCGGTAGCGACGGTCATCGTTACGGTTGTCCAAATATTCAGATACTACAGAAAGAATCGATAACTATTGCTAGACACATTGTCTGAGCCAAACATCCAGAGATCCAAAGTCGTGAAATACAGAGGTTCCCCTGGCGGGCGGCTCCGATCGAGGAAACTGCATTAGGAACTCAAAGGGCGCGATATTGACATGTTGCCACGGGCACTTCCAAGACCGCGTATACCCAATTTCCCCACCGGATGCAACTCAAGACATACAACGCACTGCCAACAAACAAAGCACCATTTGTAAGCTGGTCTCGCTTCGATTGCGACAACAAAAAATGTGATTGCGCCATAGCTGAATCCTAGACAGATCGGCCGGCAGAAGGAATTCGGGTCCGCGACAATTGGAGCGAGTCATGTCAATACGCAATGCAATGGAACTCTCCTTTTGTTGATCACAACCACCATCTACCAACCCCTGAACGGACATCGGACCTAGTACTATCCATGGATGCACATGTTTTAATTAGGCATTGTAACTCAATTGAGTCTTGCTTCTGAGTTGGGAATGTAGTAGAGAGTTCCGGCGTGCCGAGCATGTAGTGCATTGATGCAAGCAAGAGTTGTCACACTCTTACAAGGGGCATGTTGCGAGTTGTGCTTACTGCACAAGACTAAGTCTTGGCTGCGCTGTAACCCTACTGGATCTCTACTGTGACAAGAAGCGCCGAAATACACTCTGTTGCTTGGCATATTCACTCCGTCGACGCTGCTGAATGATGCAACTGCTCCTGTCCGAAATGTTTGGGTCCATGAAGTCTGCTTCTCTATGACATTCTACTTGAAATCGAGTATATGTATTTGACTCAATCATCAGTTGAAGTTCAACACCACAAAGCAGAACGTAGTTGTCACACGCATTCTAAGTCTTATTATTTTTTCCTACTTGTCAAGCCTTCATACCAACTCCCCAGATTGAAGATGGCTGTCGCATCTTCCAATGGTGCCTCAAGCTCAGATGCACAGCCCGTTCCATCTTGGATCTTGCTGAGCAACCTGGCGGTTGCATCTCTCGAAAAGTCACATCAGCATACCACTCATTCAGGAGTACGAGTCTACGGGCAGGGCACAGCTCTGGGTTCCGGCGCATACACCTGGCTGGATGGCGATGCTTCCCCCAGACCCTTTCACGAGTGGGCCACTTCCATAGAAGTCAAAGGCGATCTCGTTCGGTTTCAAACGGCAGCCATGAACAACCCACCTCTGAACGCCGTACAAAACACAACCACCCGGGCATGGGCTGTTGGCAGCAACCCTTTCATCTTGAATGTTGCGCGTTCGCAGTGGGGGATGCCCATTGGCTTCGTCGATCCCACTGTGATCAACCGCGACAGCACTACGAGTTTTCAAGGAGTATCTCAACTGCCTCCGCATACCTATTTCGAACTCAAGAAAGATGAAAGTGGCTGGCTTTTGAGCACGCAAGAGCGCAGAGACCCTCTGTTCTCTGCCTTGAGCCCCAGAATCACGGACTACGACGAAGCAGGTTCCGCTTTTGTCTCCGCCGTGCAGAAGGCAGTCTCTGAGATCACCAAGTCCGACAAGGAGATTGCCTCTCTCCTCTCGGGAGGTATTGACTCAGGTGCTGTCACTACCTTTGTTGTTCGTGCCGGCCTGAAGGTGACGGCCTATAGTGCCGGCTCGCCATGGGGAAATGAGCATGAAGAGGCTCAAGAGCTCGCGGACTATCTGGGTATTGCCCTCGTCCGTCTTGAGCTTTCAGCAAAGGATCTCCTTGACGCGGTTCCCGACACCATGCGAGCCTTGGGTACCGCAGAGAGAGAGAGCGAGTGGACATCCAGATCACTCTGACGGCCTTGATGCGCAGCGGTCTCATCAAGGAGAAGCATATCCTCACAGGCTACGGCAACGATCTCATGCTGATTGGTTTGCCACCCGACTCTACCGACGCCGACGTGTTGATCCGAGACATCATCACCGAGGTTGACCTTGCGCGTCACAGCGGCGATTTCCAGGACTTTGTCGCCGGAACGTGGGGAAAGAAGCTCTCTCACGTGTACTGGCATCCAGATGTTGTTCAAACAGCCTTGGATATTCACCCGTCTTGCAAGGTTCATGGTGGTCGTGAGAAGGCGTTCTTCAGAGCTGCGATGGAACAGTTCATACCAAAGACTGCTGCTTGGCGCAAGAAGATCGGTATTCATGTCGGAGGTGGTATGCAGGGTGGCCTGGACGCTTTGTTTGGGGGGCTGGATGGGAAGGTTGAGGTGTATAACAGAATCTTCCGCGCACTTTCTGATCAGACTCTGGATGATCCGTTTGGGTCCATCGACCATCTTGCTCCTAGATCGGAAGAATCCGGAAAATGAGTCTAGATAGATCAAAGACTTGCATTCACTTAGAGATGACAGGATAGCAAATTAGAACATCGTGCAATGATTTAAATGCTTGCAATTCTGAGCTTCCAAGTTTTATTAGTCTGTTCTATAGTCTCATCCTAGTAGGGGCCTAAATTCTGCCCGTTGAAACTCAAAGTTTCGGGGAAATAAATTGGCAAAAGCGCCAAGACCGCTGCTTTAATGGCTGACCGACCTATTCAGAATACATGTTAATTTAACCTGTTCATCATTCGAGCAATTCTCTTACTTGGCAAATTCTCCCCTTGGTGAATAGCGCCACGCTTG